TTATGTAGTATTAATTTTTCATATTATAATATCTTGTCGTTGTCTTATATATCTGCTCGTGATTGTTGGAAAGTATGACTATATTATAACTTAAAAAAAATGCATGTTTATTATCGAGCAAATATGTTGTTTTGTAATATTTATTTTGTAAATATTTATTCACATATATTAAAATATAAATTATAAATCGATTATTTTTTAACTTCCTTAAATTTCTTGTGCCATGTTTGTTATTTTGAATTATTATTTTCTTAATTTTATTAAAAACTAGCTGTGCCCGCGGCGTAGCTCGCGTATACAGGTTTTACATAAACAATTTGTCGTTTAGGTAAGAGAATATTAAACGATTTATTTCATTACTGTATCAATAAGTGGTAACTAAATAAATCATTATCATCAAAGTTCTAAGTCGTTTATGATAGAGCTTCTGTGTAAACGACGTGAGAAGTAGGCTTAGCCGGGGTGTACACTAAAAGGTTACGGGGGCTACTAACGCGGGAAAAAGCAACATAGAGTTGGCCATGTGCAAAACAGTCAGTACTGAGGTACACTCCTACAACGCGTAAAGTTTGACCTTGCGCTTTATTTACGGTCATCGCATAACACACGCTCACTGTAACTGGGAACTGAACGCGCTTAAAACTGAAAGGAAAGTTACTTCTTAATAGAGGGTTTTTGGGCAGTGCTGCCAGATAAAAAAAAACTCATTCAGCTCTAGGACAACATAAAAAGCGCTAGATTTCATGAAAACAGCGCTTTAAAAAAGCCCTAGATTTCGCGCTAAATTAACTACAAACAAAGTTTGTGTTTTTTTTATATAATCATAATAAAGAAAACAACATTAAGTTTTTTTCCTGGCAATATTTTTTTGATGTATCAATACTTCGCAGGACATCGACTTATAATTATGGCAATTGCTGTCAACAGTAGTTAGTACTGTACGAACAATAAAAATGTCATTAATTGTTTTAAAGTGCAATGTATTTCGCAACTTAGTTTCAGATGTCAGCATCTGATTGCGGTTGCTACACAGTTTCTTTGTGTTATAACTTCTAAGTAACTTTTAACTTAGCTGTGCTCTAAGCAACTGACTGAAACTGAATAAAGCAAAATAAATGCGTTGCCAAAACCATGAACAAAAACTTTAATAAAGGGGATTTCCCCGCTTATAGTCGTCGGTAAAAAAATCAAGTTGATCATCCTAAAGGGGAAGCCAGGAGATCCATAGCACAGGGTATCCTAGTTTGGACTCGTCTCCCATGCTCTTTGTTTTGTGGAAAAAATATGTTTGAAAAAGATAAACTGCAATGTACTTTTTGTGGGAAAAAATAATAAAGGTCATTATTATTATTATCGGTAATGTGGACTAACAGTGCTGCTATAAAAGAGTTAATAACCCGCTAGTCGCTAAAATATTGAAATGTGTGCTAAATACACCAAAAAGCGCTGGATTAAGCTAGGTGCTAAAATTTCGAAATGCGCGCTTAACATTCCAAAAAAGCGCTAAATCTAGTTCCCAAAGCGCTAAAGTGGCAGTACTGATTTTGCGTATATTATAAATACAATATCACGACATTTCGTTGCACAATTTTTATTGTTGGTCGGATTCCGTTGTATGGCTTCGATGGATACAAATTTCTTCAGTAAGTCTCAATACGATTCATTGGCGAAAAATCTCAACACAGCAATTCAGAAAAGTTTGTAATTTGTACAACTCCATCTATTACGTCCTTTGTGTGAGAAAACATCCTTTTTAAATCTCTTTTTGTGTTTTAAGTATAAATATATTAATTATTATGGAACGTATTTTTACATACAAATCTTTTTATTACTATTTCTGAGATTTTAATGCGCCATTGAACAAATTCGAACCTACATTTCAAAATAATAATCATTACTTTCGATAGAATTAACCAATTTTAATAAAACAAAGATTAAATTAATGTAACTCGAAGATACGCTTTATGATTTTCTTAACGATTTCTTTGAAAATAAAAGATGTTTACTTTAGACGTGATGCGTGCATATAATAACAGACAAATAGACATACAGACAATTCTAAAAATTATAAAATGTTCTTATTTAATTATTTTCAGTTCCCCATAATGATTTTAGCCACCAAAATATATACCTATACAATGTACAGAAAGAGACACAACATGTTATCATCATTTTTATTATATGTATATATTTATAGAGAGATGGCGCTGCTAACATCAATTCTAAAAATAAAAGAGATTAATTGACGCGATTGATACATTATATAAAACGCAAGAGAACTTATAAATCAGTGCCTGCACAGTAAGCAAAAATAAAGTTTGACTCTCGCCAAAACCAATTTGTTAATAGATCTTTTAAAATTTGATTTACCACATAGAGTACTCGGCGGTAAAGAATAAATTGAGTTTGTCAACACGCAGTAGGGCAGCGAGTAATATAATAAAGATTAGCAGTAAATATGAAAACTCATCTACAGGAAAAAAAACACATTGCAATTGCATTACATTTTCACAACACCACCATCTATCGAAGAAATGGGAAAACTATTGTGCTTCAGATTTAGTTAATAACGTTAATATATTTTTGTATAATATATTTAATACGTTCTTTAATACTTTTGTTTACTGCGTTTTAGATATACATAATTATATCATTATTTTACATAATTTAACTATGATTTATGATATGATATTAGTTTAAAATGCACTTGATGACTCAAACAAAGCCACCGTTGAGCAAATTCGTACCTATACTTCCCTACCCATACTTCAGAATATTTATCATAACTTTTGATGGAATGAACTGATTTTAATGAAATAAAGACTAAATGTAACCCGAAGATACACTTTATAATTTCCTTAACAATTCTTATGATATAAATTAGTACTTTATACGTGATACGTTAACAAACAAACAGACAGACAGACAGACAGACAGACAGACAGAAAATTCTAAAAATGGTAGAAATGTATTTAATTACTTATTTTTAGTACCCCTCAATCACTTTTATTACAAAAATATAAAATGTACAGACATCTGCTATTTACAGTTTTATTATATGTATAGATTACACGTTAAGTATTCGTTCAAAGATCTTAAATTTATCCATATAACGTCATTCACCGGCAGCGTTGGGCATCGATTTTATTTAAGGATCGTGTTTCAATAAAGTTTTCAGTATCTTTTATTTTCAGTATTTTAATTTTATAATTTTAAATATATAATCATATTTTAATTTTAAACACTTAATTCACTTGATCATTAACTAGGTTACTGGGGCTGTATAAGTCCTTTACTATAAAAATTATATTTGAGTACGAAAAGGGTGCCTTTGAGCACAGATTACTAAATAGTTTACTAAACTTTGAGTGCGTTATCTATTGCATGCCTTAAGCGAAAGCGCAAGGTATCGTAGCAGCGTCGACGAGTTTGGACTCCACGGGCTTTCATGTAAGAAAAGTGCTGGTAGGTTTTCCCGTCACGATTCTTTGAACGAAGTCATCCGAAGAGCTCTTGTCTCTATAAATATACCCTCGGTTTCAGAATCTTGTAGAATATTTAGAGAAGATGGCAAGAGACCCGACGGTATGAATTTGTTCCCTTGGGAGAGAGGTACAGCCCTAGTGTGGGATGCTAATTGCATAGATACTTTGGCAACCTCTCATCTCAAGGGTACCTTGCTTAGAGCCGGAGCGGCAACAGAGGCAGCTGATTTAAGTAAGTGGTGCAAATATGAGTCTCTGAGAGATGACTACATATTTGTGCCATTTGCTGTAGAGAATATCGGTCGGAACTGTATCCGCGAGTGGTCATCGTTGCTGGTGATAGGAGGGCTGGTTCTTTTCTAGCTCAAAGGCTAAGTATAGCCATTCAGCGAGGAAGCTCAGCCATAGTTCTTGGCACGATACGACGGGGAATAGGACTGTATAACAATTAAAATTTGTAGTTTTAGTTTTTCTTTATTACAGTTTTTTTTAAATTATTGTGTGTATATCTTCTAATAAGATTTAATTTTATACTATGTTTTAACAAAGGACGTTATAAAGTATATGTATATCGCTTTATACTCAGATTCCTTTCTTTCTTTTGAGATTTTAATTCTGATGATTTTCATTCCCACATATAAGTATTTAATATCATAGAGCAATTGAATAAAACTACTTTTACGAATTCTATCGCGTTTTATTATACTTATTTTTATATTCCCGACGTTTCGGGTGCTTTCCAACATCCATGGTCTTCTTCTTCTTTTAAATATGGCTTCTCTTAATAGAGTTCTGCCAGTGTCAAGTCAGTCATGGGAGTGGCAAGTCACCCATGGTCACGGGGAACTGAGGTGATTGACGTCCCGATGTCAGAGTACCTTCAGCTTTTTTAATTATTAGTTTTGGCCCGATCTACGCAGAATGACGTTGGGAATTTAAAAATAAGTGTAATTAAAAAGTGTTCGCGTAAATATAAGGATGGTTCCTTATCTTATGATATGGATAATGGTTTATCATGGAGTAATTTTTTTTAAATTTTATTCCGTTTTAATTTAATACCATTTGGTCTATGATGTTTAAGCGACTATAAACCTTAGAGTATTCATAGGTAAGCTATGCTAATATATGTTCTAAACTAGAAACGAACAATTAAATCTTAAATAACCCTTAGTAATGAATATCCCCCTATGGGATACATTTAAGCCTTTGTTTATAAGAATACGAGTAACCAGCATACAGACCACCTGATGGCAAAAGGATACTGTGTCTGTGACCCATAGATACCTATATCTATCGTCGAATAAAAATTAAAGGCGGATAAGTTATCAACTTTAAGGACTCTGATGCAATGTCTCTCACCATACTAAACATCAGGCCGCCATTTGACGCTGATATTTTCTGTGCGAGCGTGGTTTTTCCCCAGTCGAGTTTACCCTTCCATAATACAACAGCAGCGTGCCTCTACGACTAATCTTACCAAAGTATTTGCAATATATTTTTATAATGTAATCGCAGGGCGCTTCACGAAAGCGATGGAAACTGGACGGAAAGTGATTGTTCCGAGGCGCGACGCAGTGGTGCTTTGTGGAGCGCACAGGCGCGCGTGTGTCGCCGGCAGCCGGGCGCCATGCCCCACGTGGTGGCTGCCGCGCGTATCGCACGGACCACTTGTCTAAGCACATACGCTGGTGAAAGATGGAACTGCTCCTCCATCGAGCTGGCACCGAAGTTCACACCAGATCTGTTAACAGGTAAGAGACAAAAGATAATCACAAACCTAATTTAGGAATGTAATGTCGATTCCTTAAATGGAGTGTCGACTAGGTCGGAAAGAGATGCAGAAAGTTGATGGATGAAGGTGGCTCAGGGCTGTGCTTGGTAACATTTTTTGGGGGTTGCCTTTGTTCCAGTGGATTTGTGAAGTGCTGTAGTAATGATGATAGTGGTGATGAATTTAGAATGCTTACTCAATGGAGTGACTTTAAGTGATGCTTGTGACTGACATTTTATTTATTTATTTAAACTTTTATGCACAAAAGAAAGATCGTACATATGGCGGACTTAATGCCCTCTCTCAGTCAACCATTAGGCTGAGCAGAGATAAACATACGTACACACACATAAATCTACTTAAATACATTAAATATATACTTGATATACATATACATTATGTATGATAATAAGATTTAGTATCTTGCTGTGTAGTGACGGTTTAAAAGAATCCACGACGCTTTATCACCCCGTGTTGTAAGACGCGACAGAGGGAAATGAAAGAGGTGATCGGCAGTAGCATGCTCCTGATGATAACCCAAACCAATTGTGTCGTGGAACACTCGGCTGGAACGAAGTTCCTTTCGTAGTACAGTAAAATTTGGTTAAGTGGGACCTGGATAAGTGAGAAACCTCCATAGCTGGAACTTATGCTTAGGTCCCGACACTTTAACACTGAATTACCTGTTAGTGGGACAAAACAAACCTCCATATCTGGGATTAGTTCTTTCGATTTTATCATTATAATTGCCTCTATAACTGAGATATCGAGTGTATTTTACCTCTTTTACTGAGACTATATTTTGTGTACAGTTTTGTTTACTAATTCTTATTCTACCCGCAAATTCCGCAATTTGCTAATTGTGTAAAAGTGACCTCCAGTTTTAGTTTGGTTTTGCTGTCGTCCGGATATTAATTTGATAAATTACTTTATTTTATTTACTCGTAATAATCGCACCTCTATAACTGAAATAACCTCTATTCTCACCTCTATTACAGGAACCCTCTGTAAATGAGACAGATATTTATTTATACCTGGATATCTGAGACACTGGGTAAGTGGAATACCTCTTTAAGTGAGACAAATTTGCTGGTCCCTTAAGGTCCCAGTTATCCAGGTTTAACAATAAATATAGAATGTAAAAATAATGCATGTTTTACATTCTATATTTTAAGCACTGACATACCTATTAAATGTGGTAGAGCCACGCTGCAGCTATATTATAGTTGTGACACGAATGGTTTGGCTCAACCGGGGTAGGACCACGCCCTCACAGAATACCAGCGTAAAGTAGCAGGTTAACGCTGCTGTGTTTCGTATGGTGAGTGTAGAGAACCAGAGATCCTTTTTACTGGAAACGAGGCATTCCATCTTAGTCCTCAGCGTTGGCAACGCATCTGCATTTTGATTCCTAATAGATAATAGATGTATATGTCTATAGGCCACAGCAATCACTTACCACTGTGTGCTCATTTATCACCCTTATCCTATAATTTTTTTTAACGATTTGGATGAAATTTTTTATTATCATAATGTTTTAATTTTCAATTTATATTATGATCCATTTCTGAGAATAAATTTGTAACGCCGAGCAAAGCTCGGTCGCCCACGTATTCAGTTATAGAAAAACAGAAAACATTTGTTTTGTCATAACTTAGTTCACAAGAAGTTAGATAGTTTGTAGAAAAATACATTGTAATATATTATGTTACATCATGTCTCTAAGAATTCAATATAACTTTCTTTACAAAGGATAAACCACTTCGATCAGAAGGAAAATGGAACTTTCGACTATAATGACCGATAAGGCAAAGTGAGTTGGAGAATGGAGGGTGGGGGAGGGCAGGGTTGTTAAACTAATATCATAAAATGGTTATTTTTACGTGAAAAGAAATAGTAAAAATATTTATTATTGTCAGTAAAGAATTTTCGGCAGAATATTTTGTTGTCAGGGGGTATCAATGTGTATCACAACTATTTAATCAGTAATTGCGGTATATAATAAGTTCTCAGAGGTACCTCTTCAGAGGTTCTATCCTTTAGAGGAACCCATTAAAGTTTACTTCTAATCAGTTTATAACTCATTAAACCACCACCGCTACAGTTCCCTATATTCTTTTTTATATATTGAAGAAAGGGTAACAAACTTTTAAAGGGTCTCCGAGTCTCGTCACTCTACATGAAGCATAGAAATATTATGCTGTTTGCCTTTACGCTGCGTATTCTTTGCAAGCGTGGTCCTTCATCGATCGAAACGAACCATAAGTGCTGCAGCCAAACTACGCTGAACCGCAGCGTAACTCCATCATGTAAAATTTCGTTTCTAATCCCGTTCTGTTCCTTTTCTTTTAATTACGGTATAAAATAATGTCTTTAAGATCGAATTTCGGTCATGGCAACCAGTCTCAATAAAGACTAGACATCTGCGCAGGACAAGATTATAGTGCACGAGCGTGAGCGCAAGCACAGGTGCACTTTCTATTCCCTCACTCTCATAGATAGTCCAATGGGACAGCAGTCTGACACGACAGGGGAAAGATCAGGCGTAAGACAACAGCTTTCAAACCAGGGAATCGAACCCGTATAATCAGACAAGCTAGGTCTAAGTACTAAATGATGGTTTTGACCATCCGAATAGTCTAAGTAAAAATTACCTTCCCTGCAATAAAAAAAGACCCATGCAAAACGTATTGACTTCTGCGGGAATCACTTATTAAAAATAAAACCGGTGATTAAAAAATTAACCATTTTATACATCTGTTGTGGTATATTAAGTTTTCCACGCGTTGTTTGTTAATTTCGAAACATGAAACGTAATAAAATTTAATATACTAACAATATCGTAGATTACTTGCTTGGTTGATTTCTGTTAATAATATCTACAATAGGGAAAGGTTTTTAAATATACTGGACCAAGCCAAGTATACAATTAATCTATATATATATATATATATATATATATATATATATACAAATAAATAAAATTGAAGTGTCTGTTTGTAATGGTAAAATAACAGCTTTTAACTAAATGCATATAAAAGTATATACGGCACTTATAACAAAAATCAATTTTTAAAAATTTGTGTCTGTCTATCTGTCTGTCATTTTCGGCTAATCTCCGAAACGGCTGAAGCGATTTTGACGAGGCTTTCACTGGCAAATAGTTGATGTTATAAGGAGTAACTTAGGATACTTTTGTTTTAGAAATAGAATTAGGTTTCTGCGCAAAAAAATTAAAACCCATGAAATCGTAATAAATTCCACGCGGGCGAAGTCGTGCGGGATAGCTAGTATTAAATAAATTCTTAGTCACTCCTTCCACCCTTTCTTTCACCTCCCGACAACCTGGCAACTCCGGCGACGAGTTTTTGTGCGAACGCGGGTAGCGTGACGACAATTCCGTTCAGCACGGTCGCCCATTCCGCATCGGGCCCATTTTATTTACATAAATTTTACCGTATTATTTGTCGCTTTTCGGGTAATTAATTTAGAGTAAGCTCATTGTTTTATTTAATACGTTGTTGCTCAATCTGTTTATCCTTTACCAAACCTTATTTTATATCACGACTGCTACAAATAACAATCGTATCAAGTAAATATAGTCATTGTAAAGGCCAGTTATAATCAGCTAGCAAATAAATTTTCCCACCGTTACGGGGATCATTTAAAAAAAAAACTTACCATGCTCATACCCCCAACCCCCAATAAAGTAGATTACTTTATTGACGGACATTTACTTTGAAATGTTCAGGATAATCGAGTTCTGGCAAGAACTGTTTCAAATGAAAACAATCACTATGTAGTCTTAGCAAATGAAGATAAGGCGGATTTATTTAGAGCGGAACAAAACGAATGCGCGAACGGAAAAAAGCTTTCTTGAATATTCAAAAAAAGTATATTCCTGTAAGTATAGAAAAACGAGGCTATACTACTAGGCTACCTTCACCTTAATTATTGTTATTAATTTTTATACGATGCGTTGTATCCGGGTAAAAATATTATCCCATATAATAATAATGATTGCTTACATAACATTGACTTCTCCCAGTCAGAACATGACATGTCGGTACGATCGATATATACTTTATCTACTGAAAGAATTTCATTGTTCTACAAAGAATAAACATGTATTGCGACAATTTCACAAGTCTATTGTAAACATAAATCACGCTATCATTTCCTAATACAAATCTGGCACGATACCTTGACTTGGCAACGGTCGCAACGTTCTTACTGGCCTTTTATATCATGAGCATCGTGACTTGTCCCGTTGTGTTGATACTAGTCGCCAATAAAGTCACTTATCTGCACGACATGTCTGTGGAATAGTCCTGGTGTGCAAGTGGAAAACATTTATTTGTCGGTTGAACATACAATTCATTGTGTAACTAAATTTTGAAGTTTTAATTTTATTTTAAACAGTTATACTCTTTTAATTTTTAATGAAATTATTCGGTGGTTCAAATTCCACACAGAATAAGTGTTGGTATAGAGCTATAAATGGTTGTTCCGGGTCTAGACCCATCTAGATGTTTCATCATTATCACCATCATTAAAGCTATTCACAAGTTCACTGCTGTAAATAGGTCTCCCGCGAGGAATTCAAGATGTTTATTCATGTGTAATTTATACAGGGTTATTTTGCAATAACCGGCCAAATTTTCAGAGAAGGTTTAGAATAAGTAATATAAGCAAATGGTAAAGAAAAATTAATAAAAAAAAATTCAAACATTCTGTCCTTTTGTCTTTTAAATTCAAAATGCGTGATAATTCATTGTTTTAAATGATTTTATTACACACGTCATTGATATACAAAAAACCTGGGTTTTTTTTTTGTATATCAATGGCACACGCACACGTTAGTAAGGGTCGATCGGTAAGCGAAACGGTTGTTGCCCATAAATCACATTCAATTTGGGATAGTTTCAAATAAAAGTAGAAGCCTTATTTACTCGTATTTTTAAACACTGCAATAATGGT